GAAAAACGAAAGAAAGAAGCCACTTCCCATGCTGCTTGAGGAGCTCGGTGAGGAAAATTCTGGGATTTCTCTCCCCTTACCTTGTGGGTCAGCTTTTTTGTAGGCGTTCCCGGCGTCCACAAAGCTGGTGGCTGAGTCGTGTTTGCTCTGGAGCTGCATGTGCAGCTTGGCCGCCTGGCAGAATGCGTTCCCTGCAGCTGAGGGGAGAGAGAAGGCCACGGCGAGCTTGAGATTTGAACCGTGTCAAGATTTTAACCACCTCAACACTTAAACTGTCCCAAGACTTAAATCATCATAGGGCCGGAGGAATCACATTGCCATAGGGACCGTCCCCATGGAAACAAGCCCAGGATGTCAAACCGGGAAGATGCTGGGGCATAAATAATTAAATAATTAGGAGTACTCACCGCTCCAGTTTTTGGCGATCTTGAACATGTTGGCAGCCCTGGTGTACATCTCGCAGGCTTCCTCCACCCGGGTGTTGCCCCTGAAAGACAAAAAAACCCAAACAACCTGCTCCTGAAACAACTCCAGGTTCTTGAAGAGTTTGGAGCTCAGAACAAGCCCCAATCTGCTCCTTGGTCCTTCCTTCTTTGAGGGTGGGAGCAGCTGGTTTGTTTTGTTTTTTTACTGAGCACTCAGTAAAAACACCTGCAAAAAGCAAACGAACAGGTACCAGATGGCTGCAAGCAAATCAAAAATTTGGAGATGCCAGAGAACTCGCTAGGCGAGAACGGCTCAGCACAAGCCCAGCTGAGGGGTTTAGCAGCGCAGCTCGAGGATGAGTTTTTCTAAATATTTTTTGGTTACCAAAATGCGGATTTCTTGACCGGCTTACTCCTTAACTAGCCCAGTGCTGCCCTCTGCAGCACACGCTCCCGCTCGCTCATTATTGCCATTTTATTTATTTTTTTTCCTTCTCCTGGCAGATGACCACATTTCATTTCTAAGCACAGGCAGGTTTTTTTGGATGGCTCCTCGCCCTTGAAAGCCACCTTTTGCGTGAACCGAAGCCAAATCCGGTCGGTTTTCAGCCTTTTAACCTCCAGGAAAAAAAAAAAAATGTATAAAATAAATAAAAGGACTCATACCAGCTAATGGAGCTCTTCAGGAAAAAGCCCGGCTGCC